ACCCGTTTACTAAATAAATGAATTAAACTATGGTTAAATTGGGAGCTACACTACCTCTAGTAAGGCATTTTCTGAAATAAAGGGTGTGCATTGGTCTACATAGTTGCTCGCACAAAAGCTGTGTTGTTATTTCATGATATATGAAATTTGAGACGGCCAAATGAGGAAATAAAAAGTGTGTGCCTAAAGCATTCGTATGCAATAGCGAGTGTGGAATATCTTGTAGATTTCAATGAAGATATCAAATTTGGAAAACTCTCAGAATTCTTCATGTGTCATGAAAGACTTTGACAAGAATAATTGCCAAATTTTGAGAAAATGATATTGGACTTTAATTTCAAATTGTGACCTTGGTTTTCCTTTCTCCACTGTTATGGAGATCAATTTGGCAACTTCTTAGAAATTCTTAATTTTAGATGAATGAATTTGAAAAGATTAACTACTTTTATTATGTGGAGAGACGTTAATCAAGGCAGATTTTGTTGGCAATTCGATGCGTGGAAATGGATGAACTTTATGTTTCCCATTGAATTTTAATTTTTAGTTGATGAACTCTTAGAGATTCGTTCTCTATGAAAAAATTCTCTGTAATGAGATTTTAATCTCTGTGGAGATTAAGATTGAGAATCAACTCGGTAAAAAGATTCATTAGGTTGGATATGTGGTGAGTGAGGCATTGGTAGGTGATTTCTTTGTAGACCAATCCATTCAGAATATGGACTGAAATGTCGCACATTGAAAAAAATGATAAATGCAAAACTGTCTAAGTAAATGTCGCAAATCTATCTATATACTATACTAAGGCAAAAACCAGAGAGAGAAAACTAAAGGTATGGAGCACATGCCACATAGGATTTAAACTATATGTAGCATTTTCTTAATTTCTTAGACTTAAAAATGCACAAAACAAAATAATAAAACCAAAAAAAAAGCAACTACAATAATTTTTTAAAAAATAAAATAATAAAAACCGAACCCTTATTTTCATGAACCAAATCCTAACACAGAGATTGATTGGAGAGAGTACCAAATCCTAACAAATTTTAGAGAGATCTGCATAAACCTTGTCACCAGTGAATTTAAAATGTCATTTAAAAAAAACGAATTCCTGTAAACTCAGAGGTAATCATGTTTAAAACTGAAATCATTACATATTTTATAAAAATACAAAAATTATATAAAAATGTCGAAATGTGTACCCCTTCCCCGTCCATCAGACGGGTCTAACACCTAGTTGAAAGAAATGATAAATGTGAAATTGTCTAAGTTATTTTTCAGAATTCAGAAGCACTATGAAATAACCCAGAGCCTATTTCTTCTTCCATTAGCCAAAAGATCCTCTTAGCCTATCTTGATGTTCATCAAAATTCCAGTTTCAGTACGTTGGTGATTTTATTTAAGTGCAAGACTAAGATCACGTTATCCATTGTATCTTGGAAGACAGACGCTCTTTAATACTCTAGCACTTTGTGAGAGGGAACGAATCTATTTTAAGGAAAACGTATTCTCACGTGCCTCAGAATTCCTTATTTTCCTTAAAATATTGTTGTCATCGCAAATACTCCCTATATACACTTTTACCAACAATTACCATGCTGGCCCTCTCCATGCATTGATGCATGAAGTTAAAGTTTACTACCTTAAATCAATTTCTTGGAAGAGGTTTTCACCTAGAAAGTGTTCTTCGCCTCAAATTGTGATGAATGCCAACCACTCTGCTCAACATTGGGCATGGTTTATAGATAGATCATAGGGAAGAACAACTACTAAAATATTGGCCTTGGACCTTCAAACTTGTAAGTATTTCCTCATTCCATTCCATAGTGATGATGCCAAGGTTCCTGTATCATGGAATCATAGACAGAAATGGTCATTTGTGGATGGTGAGGGAATATGATGAGGTACAAGGTTCTGGGATGATGAAATCGTATAAAATGATTGTGAATATATCAGGTTGGAAAAGCGATTTAAAACGCATGTCATTCTTATGGGAGTAATCTCGGAAAGCTAGCTACTTGTTGTGGGTGACTGTGCATGCATGTTGTCCAACATCGACATGGATAACAAGCAACAGAGCTCCTTTGACATTTCTGAAATAGTATTACATTTATTCACACAGGATGCTTAGTTGTTGATAGCCTTGTTAAACCTTGGCCGCCTTTTCTTGATGGCACCAGTTCCAAAAAAATGAGAGTAGCAAAATCTTGAGAAGCTCAAATAGGGATTCAGCCCCAAAACATGGAGCGGAGACCTTATAAGATTATAAGACATGGAGCGGGAAGTATAGACTTTCTTAGAAACGGGATCAAAACAACGATAGCCCTTATAAGATTCAGAATAACCAAGAAAGACACATGGAGCGGAGCGAGGATGGAGCTTATGAGAAGCTAAATGAGAAAGATTGGGAAAACAGGAACACCCAAGCACCCTTAAGGAACCATAGTTAGGTGGATGACCAAAAGAAGGGAGAAAGGAATGGCCCCATTTTTTGATTTAGTAGGTAAACCATTTAACAGATAGACACTAGTATGTAAAGCCTCTACCCAGAATGCCTGTGGTAAGTGAGCTTGATGCAGAAGCGTGCGGATCATATTAATGACTGTTTTATTCATGCGCTCAGCCTTGCCGTTTTGTTGAGGAGTGTACGGACAAGAGATACGCATTGTGATCTCCTTAGATTTAAGAAAAGACTGAAGATAATGAGAATGAATATATTCAGCAGCACTGTCAGACTTAAGAGTTTGATGGAAGCATTGAATTGAGTTTGAACAAGAGTATAAAATTCAACAAACTTTTGAGGAACATCGGATTTATTTTTAAGAGGATACACCCATAAATAATGAGTGAAATCATCAAGAAAGAGTAAAAAATACTTGAGACCACTAAAGGAATGACACGGAGAGGTCCAAACATCTATATGTATAATATCAAAAGCACTAAAAGTAACCGAAGAAGAAGGCATAAAAGGGAGCTTATGATGCTTCCCAATTTGACAAGCCTGACAAAGACTAAGTTTATTTGAAGAGATGATGGAACCAGGAAGACTTCGACTGGACACTAAACTGGACAAAACGGAGGCATTCGGGTGACCAAGTCATTGATGCCATAATTGAGAAGAGACAGAAGCAGCAAACACCAGACAAGAAGGAGAAGATGGTGCAAGGGATGGATGGAGCAGTGAGGGTGGAAATGTATAAAGGGAACCAGTACTATTGCAACGTAGACGAGGGGTCCTCGTCCAAAGATCCTTCACAGAAAAACCAAAAGGGTCAAACTCAACAGAGCATTGATTTTCAGTGGAAAATTGACGCACAGAGATTAGATTTTTTGTAAGCGAAGGAACATGGTAAACATTAGGGAAACGAAACTGAGAACAAGAGAGTTGACCAACGGATTGAATAGGTAAAGAATGACCATTACCAATAATGACTCGAGTAGAACCAGTATAAGGTTTTGAATTAGTAAGAGTGCCTTGAGATGGAGTCAAAGTGTTACCACAAGCAGTGTCCATATACCAGGAGGAATTAGCAGATGGGGGAATAGAAACCCGATTATTGTGACCCCCAAAGTAAGCAAGCTGTTGAAATTGATAGCAATCTCGAGCAGAGTGATTGAATTGATTGCACAATTAGCAACGAACAGCAGTGAGATTGGACTGAAAAGAGGGAGCCGGACCAAGAAGAGAGGGAGCATGTTGCCTGGGAGTAAACATAGGAGTTGTATAAGAGTTAAAAGGTGCAGAAAAACGAGGAGGGATACTGACCAAAAAATTGGTTGCGTCCACGGCCACGGCCACGTCCCCGATTATTCTGAAAACCGTGAACCCTGCCACAGCCACGATTGGAAGACGGCTGCTGTTGAGAAGGGGTATTGGACTGCTGCTATGGAAGGTCAATGTAAGATGCCGCGACCAGAGCGTTGGTAGCCGTGGAGAGGGAAGAAGGAGCAGTGTGCTGAAGTTGTACCTCATGCAGGAAGAGCATTGATCGAGCTTCAACGAAGTTGGGTAAAGGAACGCGATGGCTAATGGTAGTAGAGACAGATTGGTAGGTCGAAGGAAGACCAGCCAGAATTTGAAGCACCAAGTCATCGTCGGAGATGGGAGAACCGACGGCTGTTAATGAATCAGCCAACATCTTAAGTGACAAGCCGTCGTTACACTAGTCAAATAATAATTACCTACTTAAAACAATTACTAGTAGTAAAGTAGCAAGCAAGGTCGATCCCACAGAGAAGGAATACTAATTACCAGGTATAAATTATTCCTATTATTATCTAGATAAATGATGATCTCAGATTTATAAAATTTAAAACTAAAATAAAAAAATAAAGTAAAAGCAAATAATATTAATTCAAATAATCAGACAAAGAAAACCTAGGACATTGGGTTCACCTAGCGAATATTTGGGTTAGTTCAATTCACAAATATCTGACTTTTAACTTCCATTAATTTCACAACGATTCACCTAATTAAGAACTATACACTCTCGTGCTATATTTCTCTTACTTAGATTAACCCTATGACTGTTCTCGTGACTATAGGGATTCATAAAAGCACATTAAGACCATTAAGAATCAAATATTGCAAAGTTTATGATCTTACTCTCATAGCTTATAACCTAAGTTTATTATTCCTACGAACTAATATTAATCTTCCACTCTTGCTACTTCGATTAATACCTTCAGACATGCAAATAGTGGCCAATTACTTACACAAATTAAAACAAGAATAACAAATATTAATTAATGGAAAAATTATAATAATGAACTAAATAAACCAAATAAATTCGGTGGCTACACCCAAACCCTAGATTAAAAGAATTTAGCCACTAAACATTATTAAAAATAATTCAATAATATTTAGAGACATAATAAAAAAAAATAAATTAAATAAATTAAAACTTCAAAACCAAATGAAGCCAAAAACCCGCCAAAACTCCCCGACGTTTGCTCGCTTCGCGGCTGCTGCGTGGCTCGCCGGTGATCAATGATGGAGGAAGATGCTTCGGTGGTGCGGCGTTGGTGATCAGGAGAACGTGGAGTTGATGCTGCTGCTGTGTGTGCGAAGGCAAGGGAGCAGGGTGCTGCTGGCTTTCTCGGCGATGAAGAAGCAGAGGTGGTGCGTGGATGTGATAGAGAATAGGAAGAAGTTGGTGCTGAGGAGGGTGTTTTGCAGCGGCAGTGAAGGAGGTAAAGGTGGTGGAGGAGGGAGTTCAGTGGTGGTCGGCGGTGAAGAGGCAGAGAAGATGGTGATGATGGTGGAGAGCAAGGTTGATGGGTGAAAGCTGCCGTCAGGTTTGTGGGTTTTTAGGTGGAGGTGCAGTGAAAGTGTAGCCTCGGCGGTGATGGAGGTGTAGGGTTCGGTGGTTTTCGGTCAAGTTTCGGTTCAGTTCTCTTGTAAAAATAAATCCCTAATCCTCCTTTTATAGGCTTCCGGCTAAACCCTACTTCTTGGAGAACAAGAAAACTTGTTTCCCAAATAATATCGGGATTAAAATTCTTATCCAATTCCATTCTGAAATCAGCCGTATAACCATAAGCTTCTCGGCCAATTTTCCAAAAACAAGAATTCTAAAATTGCATCATCGGCTCTCCAATTCTCTAAATTCATTAATTTCTTCCCCATCAATTGTTCCAATCTTCAATTCTTTCCCATTGAGTTGATTTTAATTCGATTTTAGCTCAAAACTTCAACAATTCTTCATTTGAGTACAATTCCTATAATTAAAGATAAAATCACATAAATAGCATATTTGTACTAAAATATATTGCAAAAATCACAAATTAGGGATATAATAAATAGGTAAAATATAAGGATATCATTAAGCTTGGTAACATACTCATTAATGGTTAAGTCCCCTTTCCTTAAGCTATGAAACTCCAATTTCAATTGGAGAAGGCGGGAACCAAGCTGATCATGGAAGAGTTTCTCAATAGTGAGCCACGCATCGCGGGCGGTAAGGGAAGAATTGGGCCGAACTATGGCTTGCAAAATTTCGGTGGAAACAGTGGCTTGGATCCAGGAGAGGACAATGGAGTCAATTTGGGTCCAAGTGCGAAAAGCAGGATATGGAGTAGATGAGGAAGTGCCATCAGAGGCAGCGAGAGTTGATGGAGGACAAGGATCGGAGCCATCGATATGACCAATCACGGGGTATCCGCGAAAGACAGGAATAAAAAGCTCTTTCCATAACATATAGTTTGTGAAATCCAGAACGGGAGTCACATAATTCTTGATGTTAGAGAGACCAACAGCTGGATGAGAAGGTGGTGTCGGAAAAGAATTGGTTGTCATGGTCTCTGTTGATTGAAGATCAGTTTGCTGTGAGACAGTAGAGGTCACGGCGGAGTTTGTCATGGCGGCAGGGATTCGTGTTTGGTTTTTTTTTTTTTTTTGAACGAACTAAACCTGTCTGGACTGATTTACAGAAATAAAAAAGTTTAGGGATAATTTCTGGAAAGAGAAAAAGTTATGGGGACTGATTTGGAATTTTTGTAAACTTAAAGGACTGAAACTGCAAAAAACCGAAAGCTGGCAAATCTGCAGCAGCCGGAATTAAACAGAGAAACAGCAGCAGCCGCTGGCCTAAAAAAAAGAATGGAGAGGGCAGGGAGTGATTTTGGAGCCACCGAAAATCCGAAAGAATGGAGTGGAGGCTGGAAATCCAAAAGTTGGAGCCACCGGCCGGGTGTGATTTTGGGAGTTGGGGCTTTCCGCGGTTCGGCAGGAGAAGAACAGGGGAACCTAGAAAAGCAGGATGAGACCAACAGCAGGACAGCAGAGAGAAAAGAATAAACTGACGGCGTGAATTGAGATGGGATTGGAGCCGCCGGAATTGGAGCAGGAATTATTCAAGGAATTGCAGGATTGAGTTTCAAGTGCAGGAGTGAGTTGGGTTCGAATTGAAGCGGCCGAAAGCAGCCGGAAGCAGCCGAAAAGAAAAAAAAAAAAAACAGAGCTGACGGCAAGATAGATTTTTGTGTATGCCGGGAAGAGAGAGGAAGAAAAGTGTTTGGTCGGAAACCCTGAAAAATTGAGAGACCAGGAAAGAAGGATGATATCATGAAAGAATTATTGTGTGTTATTCACATAATATATTATGGTATTTATAGTATTCCCTCCGTTCCATAATTTTTGTCCAGTTTGATTAAGTTGGAAGATTTTATTTTTAGTCAAACTTAATTTTATTTTAGCTCAACCTACCGGATATGCCCCTGCCCACAAACTTTCACCTTCCAAAACTTCCCCCAGTTGTCACAGTTTAATGCTTCTTCTTCTTCTTCAACTTCAAATTATTTGTTTATTGAATTTCTCTTAACTTCTCTCTAAACCGCCCGTTTCCAAAGAATTGTTGCAGCAGATTCGATTCAACTCTTTGATTTCCCCCCATCTTCTTCTTCAACGAATTGCCTACTTATGAATTTACACTTCTTCCTCTGCCAAAATTCAAAAACCGATTCCCATTCAAAGGATGTCCCTAGTGATAGCATTTTAGAGACGCAGAGACCCAATTCAATTTTGGTGGAACTAAAGAATGGAAAGGCTCAAACTTTTTGGTGTGGAATTGAGTGTTCTGCTGCAGTTATTTTACTTGAGAATTGAATTGGGATTTTGTTAAATTTGGTGGGTTATTTTAGTTGGAGAAGAGGATAATGTCTTGGAAGAACAAAGCATTCAAGTCCAGCTCAAAAGGGGGTTTTATCTTGAAAACCTACCATTTTGCTTTGTATTGGATGCTTCTGTGCTGGGATGCTATTCACCGATAGGTTAATTTGTTTCTGCATTTTTTTTTTCTTCTGGATTTCTAAGTCCATGCCTTGTATAGCTTACTATCAAAATCACCAAAACGAATCTGAATTTTTGAGGTGAATTTGGAAAATTTTGTATATATGGGTGTTTGATTTTCTTTGAAAGTAGTAGTATTTGATCCCAACTTTCTTGCTGTTGAGCTTCCCACCTTCACCTTCCTTTTTGCCGCCATCTCAATTTTCATCGGAAACCCATATCCTCTGCTTCAGATCTGACCGGAGGAACTTCACCGAGTCCACATCAAGAACCTCTAACGTCATCTCCAAAATGGAGTGGATGATGTTGACTCACCGGGGTGGCTCATGAAATTCGTGAATGTCCCATTTGCAATAAGAATTTGGGATGAGTAGAGATCTATGGTGATGGGATTGTAGTAAAACGTGATCTTCTTGTTGGGATTTTTAGAGGAGAGCGTGAAGTTGAACTTGGTGAGATTAAACGATTTCAGTCAGTGAATTAAAGGGCAAATATGTAACTTACTTCATAAAAAGTCAAATTGGACAATAATTTTGGGACAAAATTTTTTAGACAAAGTGGACAATAATTATGGGACGGAGGGAGTACAATGATGTAACAGCCCTAGCCGTCTACATAGAAAACCCTAATTAGGATTTCGATTATTTCCATATTCTATCACCATCCTCAATCGCACCCAAGAACCATGTGTTTGTAAAATCTGTCACTTGGTGTTTCCCTCCGGCCAAGCCTTAGGCGGTCACCGGCGGGCTCACTACGTGTCTCCAGCTGAGACCCAAATCACAAGCGGTGGCGATGGACACGTCAGCAGCGTAGAAGACATCTGCCCCACCACTTATGCTGTCGTAACCGCAAGTAGCGTGACCTCATCTGTTGGAGACGGCGCGTCAACACGCACTCCGGCGAGGAGGCCGATGTTCAACCTGAACGAACCGCCGGCCGAGGCTGACCCGGAAGATGAGGTGAAAGGTGATGAACATGAAGTGGAAAGCCCATTACCCGCAAAGGAGAATCCGAGTTTGTCCATTGCTGGCAGTTCTTCATTAGCTATCTAAAGATTCGATTCCTTAATAAATGGATGAATGATTCACCTTTGTTAATTCTTTTTCAGTTCATAATATGCTTTGTTAATTTGGCATAGTACTTCAAAATGGATTTTGTTGGTGCTAGATTTAATTTCTAGATGCTATTCTCTGCAATTTAGGGATTCGAAGACCAAGTTATTGTAAATATTTTTTAGGAAAGTTGTTCATGACCTAAAAAAACTAGTAGTATTTTAATCTTGTGATTTTGTTTTGATTTGCAGTGTTTCAACGTTTGAAGCCACCAGGGTTTTCAGAATGAGGCTAATTAATCAAACATGATCACTATTATAACTAAACTGAATAATCTGATCGATTGCGCAGAAGATGTACATTGATTACGGGTTCAACCAACTTAGTAGAATTGTTAGGAGTACTATTTATCTACTATATATTTTAAGAAATTACTCAAAAAGTGTATAACTTCTGAACAATTCCGAGACACTAGAGCTTGAAAATGGAGAGGTTCAAATCTGTTTGCCATGTCTTTGATTGAGTTAGACATAAACTTGTGAGGGGGAACCTTGAACTTATTCATTTGGTTGATTTTCTAAAAAAAAAGGCTACAAAACTAATACACAGAACTTATTCATTTGCATTATCGTTTCTAGTTCCTTTGAGATGAAAAGTGTTTCTTCATTCGGTTTCAAAAATAATAATTCCTTGTCCTAAAATAATGCAGAGCGAGAACTAGTTATTATACATAATGGTTTTTCTTAATTTCATATCATCATTATTTATTGTCTGTTCAATTTAAAGATTTTTTGCTTCAATTCAGGGGGAGCTATTCTACTTCCCTTTTTTTTTTTTCTTTTTTCCTTTGGAAAGTTAGCCATAGGTTTTCAAATTTAATTTGAGATGTTTGTGTTTATACTTTGAACAGAAATCCTTCAAGATTTACCTTTTACAGATACCAAATAAACAAATCAGGTGTACGTAGTCTTCAAAAATGGATTTTTGGACGCTTTAAATTAATGCAATCCCTTGCCACAGCTGATTAGCTGATGCTTCCGAATAAATTATTTCTATAAGTTTTTACATTTTGGAAAAATTTACTATGTTAAACTGGCTTATTTTAATAAAACATTCTTTGTCAAAGAAGAAGCTACCTAAGCTAGAATTCGGATAGAAAATTCGATCCAATGTTATAAGAAACTCAACACAACAGCGACAACCTCATTGTCACCTTCAAGATGATAATTGAAACGTGACAGTACTGCAAAGAAATATATAAACACACAGAAGTGAGAAATGCTACGAAGATCAAAACATTTTCTGATAAAGTATTTTCTAATTAGGCCATGCGCCAAAAATCAACTAGTGCTGTTGAGCCACAGCATACAAAGACAACACAAATATACGTGATTTCAGGAACATTTTTGGATATACTCGTTACTAAGCAGTGGACTGGACTAGGATAAACTTTATTACAAAACAATCTAGTTTCGCATTAAACAGGATTTCTTTTGAACAGGTGATAAAACTGTCTAGTTTAGCACAGGATATAGTTTTTCTTTTCCTTTCCTACTTATCTAAAAAGTTCTCACATTATGGTAAAAAATCTCATATACATGCCACTTCAAAATGGTTCCATACGCGTCTAAGATAACATGTCCATACGACACGTGTTTGAATTATAATAAAGAATATAAAGAAAAAATAATAATGATCATTGATTTCTTTGTTAATTACATAAATGACTTTTCTCTTTCAAAAAATACATAAATGACTTTTATTAGCATTGCGATTCAACATTATTCATACATAACTACACACTAATTTGTAGCAATTGAATTCAACTCAAAAAACATGATGGCTCGAAACTTGCCATTGTCATGAAACAACTTTGTAAATGATTTACCCAACTATACCACTATCAAGGTGCCTACAGGTCTTTAGTTACCGTTGTTGGCACTGAACATAATGCACAAGAAAAGAAAAAAAAAAATCTAACACTCCATTAAGTTCAGTTCAGTCTATTCTTAATTTTTGTTTTCTAGTAAAAAACCAGCTATCTAACTTCAACTTTAGTTTTTAACTACGTGTTCGACGCGTGTTACATGTATCACTTGGCATCTTTCCCCATTATTCATAACCTAAATAATCATTGTTCAATAGTTAAAGTATGCAATGATTTCGAAAAGAATTTTGTTATATATGGATTTTCTTAGTTTATATGATTGTCTTCTAGTCCTTTACAAGCTTTACTTGACACTGCACCATAGTGAGGGGAACTATTTGGCTCACACACAAGCAAAACAGCATTAATTTGGCTAAGAAGCTGTTCGTGAAGCTAACTAGGTGCAGCTAGCAAGGGTTTTGGATTTAGGATTTCTAGAAAGTTTATTGGGCAATCTACATACTTGAGTTTTGGCCATTTCTACCTTCATTACATCCGAGTTGGAGTTAACTCTAGAAACACTTGAAATGACCGAAAAACCCAAAATATGTATTTCAGCAGAATTTTTTTTTTCGTATAAAACTAAAAATTTGCAATTATTATTTGACACTTAATTTCCATTATCTTTCCTTTAATTAATGCAGTATCACTATATAACCGATCGGGACAATCAAAACTTTTCCCTACTTTTTCATTCCCCCCAAAAACACTAGAAGAAAACCTGCTTCATGGCTGCTAGTATAAAGGTGGGCTTCGGTAAAAATTTCGAAATTAATCTGGCAGAGTATCACTTGAAGTCGATTAAAATGGGGCGGTATCATCTTATTAATTGGAAAAAAAAGGAGGCTCTCATTGATGGAGTAACACGAATTGCTTTGCATTGAAAATCTTTTAGGATTTTGAACGCCTTGTTACGTTGTGTTTTCAAAACTGTTTCACTCAGGTGTTGAATCCGGAATAACAAAACCCTATGTTTTTTTTAGAGGTTAAAAATTTTGGGGGTTTTGTTATATTATAATTTGCCACAA